AAAAGGCGGCGTCGGCAGGGAAGGTGAGAATGCGCAAGAGACCGCAAAAGACCCAGAAACAGAAAGACGATGGGAGCTAGCAAGGCAAGTCATAACGGCGGCAGGAGCGCAAGGACGACAGCGCCTGCCGCCAAAGCTGCAGCCCATGTCGGGCCTTGCCATGCATCCATATGCAGCCCAACGATTTTGCCTCTTCTCCTCTCTTTTTTTTCTTCTCCTCACTCACGCCCTCTCGTTCACCCTCCCACACGCCCTCTGCTCCTGTCGGGGCCGCTGGTTCGCCCCAGCTGCTGACACTACATGCCGGAAGGCGAGCTACAATTTGCGACCCAGCACGATATTGCAGAAGTGTGCGGGCGGAGCCAAGCCTTGCATTTTGTTTCTTTTCACTTTCGTCACCTCCGCTTATTTTGTTTTCTACTGTCTCTCCTTTTCCTCTACGTCCGGTTGAAGACGATACAAACAAAAAATCAGCGGTTGGAGATACGCAAACCAGAGACGGAAACACAGTCCACGACACCGCACCCACACCAAAGCAAACAGACTGCAATGACGGGGCCGTGGCGGCGACGCTGAAGCTGTGGTCCACCGTTTACCACGGCCCCTCCTCTTCTTACCTCATCTACGCTCGTTTAAAATCTACGACTCCGATTCAGCATCGTCGTTCTCTGGTCTTCATTTCTCCGCATCTCCTTTCCGCTCGAGAACTCGGCATATCACCATCACCATGGGTTCTCCAGCTCCGGCCATGGATCTGGAGAAAGAACTGACGTGCTCGGTATGTTCTGTTCTGTTCTCGCCTCGGGCAGCTGTATCTCTAAGCCCTCTCCCGACACATGTTCGTCTGCTGACCTGTAGATCTGCACGGATCTCCTCTACCAACCACTGACCCTCCTGGACTGCCTCCACACCTTCTGCGGCGCATGCCTCAAGGAGTGGTTCGGATGGCAGGCCCTAGCCGCCGAGACGAGCCCGAATCCCCCGGCCCCCGGCGCTCCGATCTTCACCTGCCCCTCCTGCCGCGATGCCGTCCGCAGCACCAAGCACAACGCCACCGTTGTGACTCTGCTGGACATGCTGATCGCAACTCAGCCCGACAAGAGGAAGCCTGACGACGAAAAGGCCGAGATGGACAGCAAATACCGTCCCGGCGACAACGTCTTTCCCAAGGTGCATCTCCCCAAGCGCAGCGCTGAGCAGCAGCGGTTGGACGCCGCCGAGCGCCGCCTGATCGACGAAGTGCGCGAGATCAGCAGGCAAGAGGCCGTGGCGGCCGCGGCCGCGGCCGGCGGCGACGGCAACAATGCTGCTCACGAGGCGAGGCGACGACAGCGGAGAGCAGCTCTGGCTAGCACAAATACAGGCTCCGGAGCAGAGTCTGCATCGGATGAAGACGGCCGGTTGGCCGTCAGCGGCTCCGGCGACCGCCGCCGCCGCCGCCGTAGCGCGTCGCGGAATCCTACAGCTCCCGCGGAAGAACATCTGCCGCCGATCATGGGTCACCAGTCGTCGCTACGGTCTCTGATAAGCGGTTCGCAAAATGGGCCGGGCGGGTACAGTACCGCGCTCGATATCGAGCGGGAGATCGAGGCGTTTGCCCGACAGATTCAGGAGGAAGGCATCCTGGACGGCCTCGACCTCGACAACATTGACCTCACAAACGACGACGAGCTGAGCCGCCGCATTGCAGAGGCCTATCAGCGGCGGCAGCGCGGCCGCGCACGACATGAGAGTGGTCGCCATGACGGGAGCCGGCATGAAGGCAGTGGGCGACGCGAGGGATCGCGGCAAGATGCATCTCGTCCCGAAAGCAACCGCCATAGAGCGTCGAGTGCTGTGTCGCACCGCTCGCAGGTGTCCGTCTCTAGCGCTACCGCGCCCGGCCCCAGTGCCGCTAGCCAACCAGAGCGCACATCTGGACGGCCTACGCTCTCTGTGTCCTCTGCCCTCGCCGGCCGCCCCCCTTCTTCGTCGTCGCGTCCGTCCAGCCGGCATCGTTCCCAGTCGCAGTCGTCTCACCGCTCGCGGTCGTCTACCGGCGGGGCACGACCCCAGAGTGCCGTCTTGGCGGACGGTGTAACCCCCGTCCCCCTCGCTATTCCCACCACATCCGTTAGCCGGCCGCCAATATCCAACTCCGCGAGCCACCACCTCGAGGTACGCGACGATTCGCGGCATCACCACCAGCGCCGGCGAACGGCAAGCGAAGGCCGGAGCTCGACACTCCCCGCAACTCACTCTGACCTTGGCGTCAACCGCCCAATGGCGCAGTCTCAAAACGATCTGCCTCTGCGTCCTGCAGAGCTACAGGGTGACGCTGTTGTCGTCGCAGAGCTCCCTTCCACACCGCCCCCGGCACCAGCCTCTGCCTCGCGGTTGTCGACACGCTCCACCGACGCACGGAGTGCTTCGTTCCCTACTCCATCGCGGTCCTCGTCCTCGTCCTCGTCCTCACGAAGGTCAAACAACGACTCGCCGACAGCAGTCTCGTTCCAGGCCCGAGCACTGGCCATGGGGCTTCCTGGGCCGGGTGGCGCACAGCAGCCAAAGCAGCACTCGTCTTGGCCAGCGACGGCTGCAGGCTCTGCTGCCGAGGGGGGACAAACTCGCGCCAAACGTGCCACAGCAACGTCTGCCGCAGACCCTTCAGCTTCTTCGAGCACGGCAAACGTCAATCCAGGACCCGCGGCTCTGACTACGGTTCAGAATACGACACCGCCGCCTGTTGCAACAGCCAACTTTGCACTGTCTCCCGTGACTATTGACACGTATGAACTGTCGGCACTTAGCTCGCCAGAGTCTTCCTTGCCTCGACAGCAGCTGCATCAACAGCAATTACAGCAGCAGCAACAACCGGGGCACCGTCGACAGGGCAGTACATTCTTCTCAGAGCCCGATATATCCTGCGCCCGGTGCAACCGGCGGCACATCGAGTATGATTTGCACTATAACTGCTCCATTTGTAGTATGGGCAATTGGAACATTTGCCTAGACTGCTACCGGGCAGGGAAAGGCTGCCAGCACTGGTTCGGCTTTGGCTTCTCTGCCTGGCCGAAGTGGGAGAAAAAGGCGGCACAATGGCGTGCCGAGAATGCAGCGGCGATTTCGGCCACTGGCGGTGCGACCTTCCCGCAGCCGCACATGCTGACAGCCAACCGGTACTTGATGCCACGCGTTGTACCCGGCGGCGCCGAGGGTCGTCGTACACTGACAAGCGAAGACCCGCAGGACCGTCTCCAGAGCGGTGTATTCTGCGAGCGTTGCCGTGCCTGGGCTAACAGCTGCTACTGGCGCTGTGAGGTGTGCAACTACGGCGACTGGGGGTTTTGCAACAACTGCGTCAACCAAGGATTCGCCTGCACACATCCGTTGCTGCCGCTGACACATCAACCACTGCCGGCAGCGACCACCAGCTCGCAACCGTCGCAAGCCCAAGGCCAGGACCAGCAACCACACTTGCTGCCCTCACCACCGCCGCGGCCACACGCGTCAGCTCTGTACCAGTTACCTGCCGAGCCGTCAGCGGACGTGACCATCTCGGCGCCCCGTATCGGCTCATTCCGCGCCCTCACTTTTACAACGACGTGCGACATATGCCGGAAAGCGATCCCACCGAGCCGTGCTCGCTTCCACTGCTACTCGTGCACGAGCACCGTCGTGCCCGACACCCATCCGGGCGACTACGATGTCTGTCAGGAGTGCTACGGGGCTCTTTTACAGAAGCGGCCGACCGTGCTGGCGCCCGAGAACGGTCCCAACGGGTGGCGCCGCTGTCCCTCGGGTGGCCACCGCATGGTGGTGGTGGCGTTCCGCGAAGACGGTAAAAACGGTGGCATGCCGCGGCGCGTCGTGCTCGAGGACCTTGTTGGTGGATTCCGGCTCGAGACTGGGGAGGCGTCGTCTGCAGCCAGCGGCATGGACGTCGAGTCCTGGTATGTTTGGTATAAGGAGGAGAAACATTTTGAGCGGCTCGTATCGCGCGACGTGAGGATGAGCGCACCGTCCACGGCACCATCTGCAGTCATTACAACTGCGGCTGCGGCGGCCGCCTCGCCAGCTACACCAAAGAGCGCACCTTTCCCGCCTCTCGGTGGTGTCGGCCGCACCGCAGTTGCGCGATGGGCGTGGTACCCTGAGCAAAGCGGTGGTGGCGACGGCGATGCGACTGCTGCGAATGACGAGCTCCTTTTCCCGCGTCATGCCGAAATTCGTGAAATTGAAGATGTCAACGGGGAGTGGTACCACGGCGTGTACATGGGCCGCAAGGGGCTGTTCCCCAGCGGTTTTGTGACATTTCTCGGCGAGTAGCGACATGCCGAGAAAAGACGACGTAGCACTTTTTGGATCTCACGATTACATTGCATAGCATTTGGGATACATTTTGGACATACTATAGTTGTGGTTCTGTTTCTTTACATTTCATTTCTTTCCCTTTATTTCAATATTTTTTCACAACTATTTGAATTGGTTTCCGATGCACTACTTGGATCATTTATAACTTACATGTCTGCACGGAGGCTGCAGCTCGAAACCCATTCCTTTGGAACCATCTCTTTTCCAAAACTTCAAAAGCCGAGACACCATTGTGATTCGATGCAACCAACACCTGTCAACACGTCCCAATATGGAAACCCCAATGACAGGGCTGGGAAGGCCCTAGTCGCGGGCGGCATTGCGCCATTCGACCGGCGGCACGCTATGAGCTCCATTCCCAGCGCTCCAACTCCATGGGCCTTGCGAACCCCACCAAAGCTCGCGACCGACGGCCGGCGCTTCTCGTTGCGCAACTCTCGATTTTTCGCGGCCGTAATTAGGCACGACTTGCACCACTGCTGTCTCCTGAATACCGAAGCTCTTGTCGTCACGTCACCTTACGTCTTGGGTTGTTCTTGGGGGTGTTTTCACCAGCAGACCCTTGTTTCCGAGCGAACGCGAGCGAACGCATCTTGACCGCACATCCTGATTCTCGGCTTCCCTTGTAGCCCACTATCCCGCTCATCATGTTCCGAACGGGCCTGCGCCGGCTCGCTTCGGCGACGCCTGCTCGCAAAGCCCTGAGGCCAGCTTACTTCTCGGTCTCTGCCGCTTCGTCGTACGCCACGCCGGCCGCCGCCGCCAACACGCCCACGCCACACACCCTCGCCGTCTCCAGTGCCCAGGGCGTCGTTGACGGCTTTGTCGGCGCCATTGGTAACACGCCGCTCGTGCGCCTCAAGAAGCTGTCCGAAGAGACCGGCTGCGAAGTTCTCGGCAAGGCCGAGTTTGCCAATCCCGGCGGCTCTGTCAAGGACCGCGCCGCGCTCTACGTCGTGCTCGACGCCGAGGAGCGCGGCCTGCTGAAGCCGGGCGGCACCGTCATCGAGGGCACGGCGGGCAACACCGGCATTGGCCTGGCGCACGTGTGCGCCGCGCGCGGCTACAAGCTCGTCATCTACATGCCCAACACCCAGTCCCAGGGCAAGATTGACCTGCTGCGGCTCCTGGGCGCGGAGGTGCACCCGGTCCCCGCCGTCGCGTTCGACAACCCGGAGAACTACAACCACCAGGCGGCACGGCACGCGGCGCGTCTCGAGAATGCGGTGTGGACCAACCAGTTCGACAACACGGCCAACCGGCGCGCGCACATTGAGACGACGGGACCGGAGATCTGGCGCCAGACGGACGGCAAGGTCGATGCGTTCACGTGTGCCACGGGCACGGGCGGCACGCTGGCCGGCACGACGCGGTACCTCAAGGACGTGTCGGGCGGCAAAGTCAAGAGCTTCCTGGCCGACCCGCCGGGCAGCGTGCTGCACTCCTACATCAGCAGCGGCGGCACGTTGGTGGAGCGGTCGGGCTCGTCCATTACCGAGGGCATTGGCCAGGGCCGCGTGACGGACAACCTACAGCCGGACATTGACCTGCTCGACGGATCGCTGACGATTGCCGACGAGAAGAGCATTGCCATGGTGTACCGGTGTCTCGCGGAGGAGGGCCTGTACCTGGGCGCAAGCTCGGCGCTCAACGTGGTGGCGGCCAAGGAGGTGGCCGAGAAGCTCGGCCGGGGCCACACGGTCGTGACGATCCTCGCGGACGGCGCCTACCGCTATGCGGACCGGCTGTTCTCGCGCAAGTGGCTGACGGAGAAGAAGCTGATTGACGCGATCCCCAAGGCGCTGCAGCACCACATTGTCCTTCCATAGTCCGTGGAGAAACAACCAGCGAGATCACTTTGCGATAGAGTAAAATTTACAAAAAAAAAAAAAAAAAAAAAAAAAAAAAAACAAAATTTGCACGCCAAGCCGTAGTATTGTGTCAACAAAACCAGACAAGTTGTTTGAAAGATATAATTTTTTATTGGCGTACAAATACAACATGGGGATGTCAAAAGGGGTTTATGACGAAATGAATCTAGAATACAAGAAAGCGTTTTATGGTCGGTGTGTTGCAGAGCAACATAGCACCACTATATGTTTGGCTCCCTCCCTTTTTTTCTCCAGTAAAATTGGAAGAAAAATGCACAATCATTTTCACATACCAACCCAACGTTGGTCGGTCTCTCTCCGTCTATGCCTCGGTGCTCTCACCAAACACCTTCTTGTAGATGACCGCACCTCGCCGGTCGGGAGCAGCCTCCAACGCCGCATTGACCTCGACCGCCAGCGCATCCCGCCGCGACTGCAGCTCGCCCGCCAGCGCTGCGCTGTCGCCCTGGCTGCCGCCCAGAACACGGATCGCCGTGTCCAGGCCGTGCAGGAGCGGCGCGCCCACGCCCAGGAACTTGTTGTCCACGCTCAGGTAATGCATCTCGCCGCGGCGGTCCGTGTACGTCTCTGTGGGGCTCAGCGCGCGCAGGCCCTTGCCGCCCGCCGGCCAGAGCTGCACAAGCTCTGTCGCATAGCGGGAGACCTTGCCGTCGGTGTCGGCACCGCCCGGCGCAAACTTGTCAGCCACGACGGCGGCCAGATGCAGGCGCGCAGCGAGCACCTGCGGGTCACGGTCCAGCGGGTATGTTGGCGGCGGCGGCAGGGGCGCCGTGGCGGCGCTGCTGTTGTCGGAAAAGGAGCCCCTGTGCGTTTGCTGGCGCGGCGGGCGGCGGCCGTGGTCCGGGCGCTGCAGCAGGTCGATAACCTGCTCGGCCCAGCGCAGGGCCTGGCGCGTCTCGGCCTCGTCCCAGTTGCTGTCGACGGCCTTCATCTGCACGTGGGTCAGGATCTCGGCGACGACCTCGGAGCTCTCGAGGCGGAAGCCGGTGCGCTGAACCTGGGCTGCGCTCTCAATCACGGCAATGATGCACTGGCGCTCGCCGGCACGACGGGCAATGCGGGCATAGTCGGCCTGGCGCAAGCGGCGGCTTGAGCGGTGCAGGCCCTCCAACAGGCGCGGGAGGTTCTGGAAATCGGCACGGGTGGTCATGCGGCCCACGGCGTCAATGGTCGCGGCACGCGCGTTGGGGATGTCGTTGAACAGGTCCATGTGGCTGAACTGGACAATCTCGCCGTTGACGTCGAGTGGGATGGGGTCGTTGCGGAGCTTCTGCACGTGGTGTGGGCTGAAAATGCGGCGGCGCTGGTCGGCGGTCAGGTAGGAGAGCAGAATGATCTTGCTGCGGATTTTGTCGAGAACGTCGTCTAGCTCGGGGCTGGAAGAGGGACGAAAGGTGATGACATCGACTGTGGATGGGGGGACGAAGAGATGAGGCCCAAGGTTAGCTTTATTATATACAGGACGCATCCCCTTGCTGGATGAAAGGACTCTCGACTCTCTGCATGAGCGAGGACGTGTGCAGCTGTCCTCGACTGTCTTTGCTCGTCTGCCCGCGTCTCTTCCCGTGTCTGTGTGCTCTGGTCTTGGGGAGTCCTAGCTGCCTTGTTTGCAGGAACACTGTTCAGTGATCCTGCCTTTGCCCTCCCCCTATTTGGTGACACGGGTCGCCCGACGTGAGGTGATGCGCCTTGTGATGTTCCTATTCCGTGCCGATGCTCTCGTATTCCATGCCGGGTGTCTGTGCCTGTGCTTGTACCTATGCCTCACAGCTCGCGGTCGTTTGTGATCTGCATCCTTTGCATGCGTCACTCGGTTGAGTGCTGGTCTCTCGTGGTGTAGTGTTGCTGTTGTCTTTATCTTTCTTCCGCATGTGTTTTGTTCCCAGTTTTCCCCTAGTGCGAATCATAGTAATATCACAGAAACAATAGTAATAATACCCGTCTTAATGCGGAAGCCACAACGCGAGAGACCCAGCGGCATACACAGGCACATTGAGAGCATCGGGACATTGTCATGATAGGCCACCTTGCATCGACAAGACGGCAGCCAAGGGACCCAGAAAAGGGGTAGGGCGAGACAGCAGCCTTGTGGGCCATTCACAAAAGGGAACAAGACACTCAAGTGGAGGGGAGGGGAGACGGGAAAGCTGCATATCATCACGTAAGAAAAGGAGAGTACACACCATAACATGGCGCCGTCGACGACAGCAATCTGACGTGCCCCTGGCATGACAAAGATGGTGCACGCCAGGCCGGCGCGGGCGACAAGGCAGACGCACGAGGTGTCGATCGTCTCTGTGCCGTGGCTGAGGCTGAGGATGTGGACATGGACGCTGTCGAGGAGCTTGGGCGAGACGGTGACGAGAGGGACGAGAGGGACGCCCGTTGCTGGCCATGTGAGGCGTTTGTCACCGACGAGGTGGCCACATTGGCCTTGAGAGCATTGCCCGATGTCCTGAGGACATTGCGGATCGACTGGCGCGACATTGGAGGAGGAGGATCACGACCAAAGAAAACGAGAATGTGGTGGTGGCGCTGGGTGGGGGATGAGAAGGGGAAGAGGGTCGGGCGAGGGGTGGGTGGGTAATGGGTAAGGAGAGAAAGGAGAATTAATTCAATGGGAAGGAAACCACAAGTCTAAACATGCGGAGAGAGCCAGGTCGGGGTAGAAGAAGGTCAAGGGCAAGAGCGACTGGCGGCTGAGAACGACGAGAAGGACCCGAAGGACAGAAGGAACGACCCGACCGGCGCGCAGGTTTGGCTGCGAAAGTGGCCACGTTCTATAGCCGCATTAAGCTTTCTTATGCGTTGAGAATTGGTGAGGAGGCTTGGGGCGCGGCAGCCAAGGGGGCTGTGGTAAAAACGGAGTCGACAATGTGAATGTGGCCAGCGGTCGCGCAAAGGACGTCCAAGAAGGAGGTGTCGTGAGGGCGCAAAAAAACTGTCCGGTTTGATATGCATGAAAATCGTTCCAGGCATTGGCGCAAGAAAAGAAACGGGCAGCTGGTACCCACTTTGGTATCCACCAGGGGCAGGAAGGTGCAGTTGTGCACTGCAGTTGAGGAAAGAACCCTCCTGCTCGTAGATAGTGCCGGGCGGTGAGCTCTGGGCCAATCACAGAGCGCAATTGCACAAGCAGCCGGAAAAATGCATCAACGGCGGAAAACCCAAACGGCCGTCTGAGCTCCAGAGAGGCACGAGGGCGACAACAAGCGACGAAAAAGGGCCAACCGTTGGGAGACACAAACAGGTCCCTTCCCTCCACACACATATGTGTACACACACCCACCCCCGCTCGTCTCCTTGAACAAATTTCCTCCGAACCCCGTCGATCATTAGGCGACGGGATCCCAACCAGGCGATCAAAAAGAGGGCAGAAAGGGGGTCCCAAGAAGGACGAACGAGGACAGCGACTGAGGCGATCATCGAGATTTGCCCAGGTCGACGCAGAACGAAGAAAGCTGACGACCAGCCGGACCGACATTCAGTATTCAGTCATCAGACTCCAGACATCAGCCAATAGCTGATAGACACAATGAGCGTTGCTGCGCCCTTGGCCCGGCGACCGGTGCGCTGCTGCTTCCAGTCCACCAGGCGGCATGTTCTCCGCCAGTTCGCCACGGCCACGACGACAACAAACTCACCACCTGCTGGAACGGCCACAGCTAGCTTGCCCTCGAGCTTCCGTATGTGACCTGCCGCCGCTGTTCCTTGTGCCTGCTGGGCATGGACCCCTTGCTCATGTTTGGTCATGGTTTGTCATGTTTTGCTGACCTTGTTCTCCTCTAGAAGCCATCAGGGACAAGTCCGAACGCGTTCGCACAGCCTTTGCCGTCTACGGCCCGCCACCACCGACGACAAAGCCTGCCGCATCCCTATTACCACCTCAGCCGCCCTCGCCAGCCGCGGACACCGCACAAACGACACCCGCAAGCCTTGCGGCCCACAAGGTCGACGTCATGCGCGCCTATGACCGCCAGCAGATTGCGCGCATGGATCCCACGGGCGCCCGCAGCCGTCTCTTCTCGCGCAAGAACCCAAACGCCGCCAAGCCGGGCGATGTGCTGGTCGTCACGCCCAGCAAGGCCGGCGCGGAGATCTTTGGCGGCGTGTTCCTGGCCATCCGTCGCTCGGGCATCGAGACGGCCATTCTGCTGCGTGGCCAGCTGGCCAAGACGGGTGTCGAGATGTGGTTCAAAATCTACTCGCGCGCCGTGGCGGCCGTGGACATTATTGAGCGCCGGCCGCGCCGTGCGCGCCGCGCCAAGCTGACGTACATGCGGCAGCCCAAGCACGACCGCGGTTCGATTGAAGAGCTGGTCAAGAACTGGCGTCGGGCCCGCATGGCTGGCCGCAGAAATTCGGCCGCAGGCAGCAAGGCTGGCGAGGCCAAGGGCCCGCAGAAGTTCGAGGCCAAGTCGAGCCGGAGGGGCAAGAAATGATTATGTTTCTCAAAGAGCGGTGGAGCGGAAGGGGTAGCCCGATGTAAAAAGCGCCGAGCGTCGTTGCATAGTAGACAACAAATCTGTACAATAAAATTAGCCTTGAATCCCAATAAAACGACATATGACACATATCACATTGAAAAAGATACACAGAAGAGACCTATGTTGCAGGACAAAAACGACCAATAAAGCACCATAGCCTATAGTAATAGATATCCAATCGATTGATGACCTCGAAGCTGTACTTGTCGAGGCATAAGCGTGAGCTATACGACATGTCTATACTCCCAAAAATGAAAAGAAATTCTGCCCGCACTCTGCCGGCTGGCTCCCGCAATTAGTATTTTAGTTAACAAAATACAACTGAATAGAAAGGTCCAAAAATTGCACTCAGTGCGCCGAGTTGAACGCCGTCCCATTAAAATGCAGAGGGTACCCAAAAACGTTCCCGCAATGCAGGCCACCGGGTATATATGTATATGTACGTGTATGTGTATGCCTATTCGTGCAGCGTAACCAAAGAAAAATGAGGGTGCACTACCCCCAAAAACCGAATCCCGTGTCGCATGTAGTAAAAGACCCAATTACTGTTGTTGTGACCTAAATGTGCTGTGGTTGGCAAAGTCAATACCGCTCGACTGCGCCAGGGTTTCGTCAATGTTCGCCTCACTAAACGAACGACGAGGCGGCGGCGGGACGTGCAGGTTGTTGTGCTTCGGCGGGCCCGGATGGAGGAACGATGTGAGGAGGTTGCTGTTGACGCGCTCGATGCTGCGACTGCGCCGGCGGTCGCGATTTGTGCTCGAACCGCGAAGCGTGGCCGCCTGGGTTGGGAGCGAGACAGCCGAGCCGCGCCGAGTGGCAGCTGTCGTAAAGGACAAGCCCCGGGCGAGCTGCGCCTCGGCAGCCGCTGCCTCTTTCGCATTGAGGGACTCGCTGGGCAACAGGATGGCGCGGTCAAGGCCGTATGGCAGGCCGCGATGGCGGCCACGGATCATCATGGCGATGATGACGAGCTTGCCGACGACGCTGAACTGGGAGCACAGCGATTCATCACCGCCCGAGTAGCCCAGGCTCATGCCGACGGTGCCGTACGCACTGACAACCTCGAAAAGTACCGCAAACATGGAAAACTCGTTGGCTTGCAGGCGGGCGCCCTCGGAGATGGTCAGAATGAAGAAGCCGATAGACAAGTACCACAAATCGAACGACAGCTGCCGCCGCAAATGTGCGCCGACGTATTCAAGATCGGTTCCGTGCACGGGATCGTCGATTTCGCTTCCGTTGTACACACCCAACGAGTTTTCTTCATATACGTTTGTGCGGCGCACGGAAATGGCAATTGGGAACACCGAAATGTACATCATGATCATGTACGATGCCTGTACGGCCGGGTGAACGTTTGCCAAATTGACGCAAGAGAAGCCGGCGGTGCGTGTCGAGAAGGCCTGGAACAGGCCGTCAAGAACGCGGATGCCAGGGGGGAGTGCAAAAATAGGTCCATTGCCAAGCTGGGAGGTTGACCTTTGTTAGCAGACATAAATGGCGTCTGAGCGGGTCCGCCGGAACGTGAAAAGAAAACTTACGTCAAGGACAATAAAGAATAAAAGGTCGATACCGTTGAGCATGACCAGCAACCAAAACAGCCACCACGTAGCACCAGAAGGAAACAGAAGAGTAAAGCAGCGACGAGGGTGGTCCAGCAGAAACTTGAACTCCTCGTAGACTCCACTGCCGCGCGGCACAAGATTGGACAACACCCAAATCACAAAGCGAAGCATGACCGGGAAGCCCGTGTTGCCGATAACAATGAGGAAGGCCATCAACAGCAGAGGGAAGATGGCAGTGTTAAACGAGTTCATGCTGTCCGGGGTCAACGTGAAGCCGAGGTCCATAAAGGCCGAGTGCGGCGTGAAAAAGCCCCACCACACACGGCTCTGGCTGGCCTCGTCGACAACAGCACCATACGTCGAGCTCTTGAGGATCCACGGCACCAAGCTGATGACACCAAGCAGCCAGAATCCCCAGTAGTATCCGACCAGGACCAAGGCGAGCGTCTTCAGGGACCGGTACTCGATGCCACCCAGTTCTTCGCGCTGCTCCTCCGAGAGGCCGAGGAAGGCAGAGTTGCGGCCCAGAGTCGGCTCCCAACTGAGATACGGAGCCGGATCTCCTTCCTTGTCGCGCGAAAAGACGCGCTTGAAAGAATCCATCCTCTGCCGGCGCTTTGGTCGTGCTGACGCGGTCTGGTGTAGGTTGTTTTCATCGTCGCCGCTGCTGACGCCACGTGGTCTATGGGGACGAAACGCGGTGAACACATGCGCAGCCGCATGGGCGTCAACACTTAGCTCATCGAGCCGGGACGGCTTTTCTGGTTCCTGGATTGTGATGGCTTGGGCCAGTCTTGGCCGGCCTCGTCTCTCGTCTGCACTGTCGCGGCTGCCGTCGGTTTGCTTGCTGTTGTCCCGGTATTGAGTTCCGTTCGCCTGGGATGTGGGTTTTGTGTCCAGGTCCAGGGACGCGACGGAAGCATCGCTTAGCCGACGATTCCGACGCTGCAGGACAGGTGACGGTGCGTCTCCGTCGTCTGATTCACCCCGCACAATCGTACTTGGAAGAATACCGCGTTCAGCGTCGCGGGGGCCGGGAATTCGGAGTACTTCGTCGTCGTCTTGGTTCCGTCGTTGCCGTTCCAGAATGGCAATGTGTTCTTCGTCCGTAAGACGAGGCGGCAACTTTGTGAGATCATCGTCGATCCCGTCGCTGCGTTTCACCGTTGGTGCAAATTTGATCTCCGGCCGTCTTGTCTCGAGCGGCTCTGTGAGCGTGGACTTGGGCGGGACCGTGTCGCCGTTGGCAGCGGCGGAACCGTTTTCACCTTCGGTGCCATTGGCATCTTCGGCATGGTGCTGGGCATCGCCGTTGGTGCGGTCGCGGGGAGCCGGTCCATCGGTGGCGGCCGAGGCCATGGGGCCCAAGTAGGTGCCGTCGTTGGCAAGGCGCGAGCGCGCTCCATCGTGGATGACGGTAATGTGACGGCCGTTGACGCCGTCTTCGAGACGTGATGAGTCGTTCACATACTTGGACTTGGACTTGGAGAGTGTGCCTCGCCGCAAGCGCGCCTCTCTGGCAATGTGCTGAAAGCGCTTCTCGAACCAGTAGAGACGCAGCACAACAACAAACGAGTGAATAACAATAGGGTTGGCAATACCAGCAATGACAAAGATGACGACTTGCTGGTAGGTCGTCAAGAGGTTGACATTAACGGTATTCAGGCCGGCTTGCGTAGCACCGCCCGAGGCAAAGGCCAGGGCATCAATGTAGGCGATGTTGCCTCTGCCCGGGCCATAGATCAAGACGGAGCCGAGGAGGGCCAGGCCGATGACATAAAAGTCTGGACACACGAGTGGTTAGTCTTTACATTTCTGCGACTTCTGCGACAAATGCCGTCTCTCAGAACAGACGCAACCCCCCACCCCCAAAAATATCACGCGGTATGGCTTACAATGGACCGTGATGAAGTTGAAGTGCGGCTTCTTGTTCAAGAATGACGGCCGAAGAGCCTTCAGCTGCGCAACAAGAATATTCTTGAGGTTGTCCATTGCCGAAAAGAGTAGCAGAAACGAAACCGAAAGTCAATGGTGCGAATAAGAGGATGAGAAGAGTAGAAAATTCGAGGTTGGCCCGAGTCCCTGCCTCGGCAGCGTGGACGACTCCTCCCAAGTACCAGAGGGGAAGAACAACAAGTCAACAGCTGCCTTCCTAGACCCCTTTATGTATCTGTTCAGCGAAGCAGAAATCTGCCTCAAAAGGAGACAGGATAAAGAGATAGAGACAGAGAGAGAGAAAGAGAAAGAGAGAATGGGGCGTGGTGCCCGTCTGTACAGTTCCCGAATGCGGAGCCGATTGGCGGCGCGGGCTTACCAGACCAGGTGCATCGTAGGAAAGGGGAGGACGTAAAGCTGAGCGGGAGCAGGGGTGAGATGGAAGACAAAGACACAGATGCAACTGCAGACGCAAAAGTGTAGCGACCAACGCCAGAAGCGGAGCGCGAGGATATGCGGCGAAGGCGAGAGACGGATGCAGGGCGTCACGGGCGACGAGCAGAGAGCGTACAGCCAATTGGGTCGGCGTTTTTGTCGCTGTTGCTTCGTCTGATGGTGGCTGCAAGAGACGGTGTCGTCGGCTGGCTGCGTTTTGCAGGACGTAAGGGAACGTCAAAGGGGGCCGTGAACGAGGAGACGGGAGGAAACACAAAAATAGGATTGTGGGTGAAGAGGAGGCCGGAAAGGACAGGCGAAGGGCAAACAAAAAAAGGATGAGAGACTAGGAAGGAGCAAGTGGTGGAAAAGTGTAGCGTAGTTCGTACACGGAAGGAGAGACGCCACACCAAACACGAGATAACTGGTTTAGGTACAACGAATACCGACGCTGTGTACGCGATGATACATGTATCGCGCTAATGGACTACGGGGACTTGGGCAGGGTGGGCAGATGGAGCATGGCATAAATTAGTCAATTAGTGTGCTTGGAAGGAAAGAACGACTGGGTTCGAGGCTCGAGGTTCCAGGCCATGTCGGGAAGGCGCATTTCTCTCGTCGCCCCCACCTGCTGTTGTCTTTGTTCACCTTTGATAGTATCAGTTTTTTTCGGCGCGTTCTTGCCATGGCAAGCCTTGCCTGGAACTGTACACCACACCGCGTTCTGGCACACAGCACGGAGTATTTTACTTACTGAAGTTGTTGCTTGCGATTGTGCTTTTTAGATCGGCACTTCAGCCGCATGTGATTCCAAAGCTGGCAAATCGCCAACGCCAACGCCGAGTGCCAAGGCCTTGTAGAGCGCACTGAGCCACAGTTCCAAGACGACATATAAAAGGGAAAGTGCATTGGACGCGCAATTGCAGCCTGGGCTGAAGGACAAAAAGACGGAAGGAGGCCTTGCCAAGACAGCAGTCGAGGGCAAGCACGACGAGCACCAAACAACAAAACAACGGGATGGGGAAAGAACGACGAACAATGACGCAAAACGCGTGATCTGCTTTATCGTTTGCCAAGGAAAGAGCGCGAGAGACACGGACAGGGGAGTGGCTTGCGCCGAAACAGGCAAGGGCGGACGAGACGGGGAGGGATCTGGCAATAGTGCAAATCTGGATGTCTTATCCATAGGACAACTGGCTTCTCCAGGCTAGTTAACTTGGCTGACTGTCGCTGAATGAAAGAAAGGCGTATTCCGCCTTTCGACTCTCTGTTCGGGCTGATGGGCCCTTACTTCCTTCTTTGGTTGTTGTGGTCTTCTTCCATCGCTCCTGCCCTGTGTTTTTGACAGGGGTCCGGTTTTCATCGCCTGCCAAGACCAACCGCCATTTAGGTCCCGCTGTGCTGGAACCTTCAGGACAGCAGATTGTCCAGCAAAGCAGCAACCATTCCAACAAGATTGTGACGAAAGCAGCGTGATAGCAGGGACATGCGACTTTTTTTCGCACACGGCTAATCATAAGATTCGACAGCAGGCCGCTCCCTATTTGGTGATGCGTGTACGGATTACGCTGTACGACATGTATCGCGGAAAATATCTCTTCTACCGCCCAACACCCACTTTCTGGAGTGCACGACAGCAGACGCACACGGCTAATCCGAAGAGAGCAGTGCGTGTCTGCATGGGCTCAGAGTGAGCACGGAGCATGCTGTCTGCATATCCGTTCCTTTGTCCCACAGGATCCTCATGCTGCTCCATAGCTGGGTCCCCCAGCGCGGTACCGCATGGCTTGGCTGATGGCCATGGACTCTTTATCTGGCCGTTTCGATGTTCCGGTGTGGATGGCTCGAATGTCGGCATTCGACACCGCCAGAAAGGTAGGGTTGTTGTCACTTTGACAGTGCTTAGAGCAGTCGGCATAGGTGCGCTGCCTTGTCTTACCGACTTTCTACAGTTGCCGACGCACGGCCATTTTGTTTCGTCTCTTTGCGGTGTTCCTCTTTCTAATTCTTTTTTTTTTTTATCTTTACCACGCACATCTGCATCAGACCTGCATCGCGACGTCCTATCCTTTGGTCCAGGACCACCACGTGTGGGCAGGACATGGCCAGTCGTCTTCGTCATATGTCGACTGCAGGAATGGAGAGAGCGATTTACACAAAGCACAAAGTACCAGATACAAAAATTACTTGCTCGTACAGGTTGTTGTGGTTGTTTCTGGGATCTAGAAAGCAGAGCCTTCCCGCATCAAACACCATGATGAGCTGGGGGTCGCGGTGCAGATTTCGTGCAGCATGCAGACGAACCAACATATGCTGCCGGTCGGCGTTGCACATGTTGGCCGTGTGCCCGTGTTTCGTCTGCACGCCAAGCCAAGCTCTCGGAGCTGTTTTTATTTGCATTTTTATTTGCGTCTTTATTTGTATTTTTATGTCTTTTCGTTGCACGCGTGGCGGATAAGCTCCGTGCTCGTCGCGGGAAGCTTTGTCCTACGGCCCGGGATCGTCCCGCCGCACAGCCCACCTCGTCTGTGTCCCTTCGTTTTTCTCTTCTCGTTTTGCATGTGTTATTAGCATAGCGAGATCGGCGGCACAGACTTCAAATGAACACGTCAAGGCGAAAAAAGACCGGATGCAGGGGTCAGAGCCATGGCCAAAAAAGAGTAATATGTATTATACATGTTGGAACGTTTCTATCCAGTCAGAACGAACCAGCTAACGGCAAGGAAAAGCAGATATGCCTTGTACTTTTAAGTTTTGATAAGCCAAGAGGAGGCAGACGCAGACCAGCCAATGAAGAGAGAAAAAGAATGCAGATTGACAGCAAGATGCCACAGGCGAACTGCAGTGGCAATTGCAGAACCAACAACAGAGACGAAAGTTCTGCCTATTATACCCTTGACTGCTGCGCGGCAAAGAAGTTTTTGGACTCCAAACACCGGTCGCTCTTGCAGCCGGGACACCGCAGGCTCATCTGCGCCGAACAGGCGGTGCCGCTCTGCAGGTGGCTGTGGGCCAGGCTAGCGAGGGCGTTGATGAACGTCGGGCTGCCGTTCAGACTCTCGACGCGCTTGACGGTGTCCTTGTGGCCAGACTCGCCAATGACCTCTTCGTCGAGCTCGTAGAGCGTCTCAATATGGTCGGACGTAAAGGCAATGGGGATCAGGACCAGGTCCTTTTGGCCCTGGGCAATGTACTGCTCGACACTGGACTGGGTCTGCGGGCCCAGCCAGGGCTGCGGGCCAACCTGCGACTGCCAGCACAGCCGGTAGCGGTTGGAGAAGCCGAGGCGCTGGTTGACGGCGTAGACGGTGGCGGCGACTTCGGCCGGGTATGGATCGCCGCGGTTGACGACGGTCATGGGCAGGCTGTGGGCCGAGTAGAGGAGGACAACGTCCTTGCGCCGCGCCTCGGGGTATTCGGCCAGCTTGGCCTCGATGTTCTCGGCAAACGCCTCCACGAGACCCGGGTGGACGGGCCAGCGGTCGATGACGCTCCAGGCGATGGAGCCGTCCTGGAGACGGGCATTGGTCGACGGGTCCCCGCCGCTCCGCTTGCCCTCGAGCCGCTGGCGCCACTTCCACAGCTCATTGAGGCTGCTGCCGGTGGTCGAGCACGAGTACTGCGGGTACTGCGTAAACGCAACGGCGCGGCCGCCGCGGCCGCCACCGAAGCCGTCCTCCAGCAGCTGGCGGTACATGTGCTCGGTGAGCGGGTTGGCGTAGCGGAAGGCGACGTAGGGCTTGTGCGGCGCGGTCTCGGGCGACAGGCGGTCGAGCAGCTTGCACATCTCGGCGCACTGGTACTCGGACCACTTGCGGATGGGCGAGCCGCCGCCAATGGCAGCGTACTGCTTCTGGATCTTGGGGGTGCGGCGGCGCGAGATGAAGGGGCCAATGTAGTTCTGCAGGCGTCCGAGAGGGATCAGGTCGCCGTCGGCCTACCACGATGCACGCAAAGGTCAGCGGCGGTCTGCAAACAAACAAATAAACAGATAAACAATCCATTCCCCGAAGAAACTCCGAGTCCATCCCCGAGACCGGGATACTCACAAATAATCGGCTGAGAAAGTCGCCAACCTCGTCCGTTGTCGACGGGCCGCCCATGTTGAGGAAGACCATGGCCGTCGCGCCTTTGGAGCCATGGTTGTCCTGGGTGACGGGCGGCGCCTGCACCGCAGTGGCCAGGCCACGGTGACACTGGATCGAGAGTGAAGATATCGGAGCTACAGTAGAGACGGAGAGCGACGTCTGCAGCGTCCGCGCGCCGAGGCGCAACTGCCGAGCAGGCTGTCGCAACGCGGCCATCGTGCCTAGGAGAGGGGAAGTGGGCGTTCGAAGGCCGAGAAGGAGACGGTACCGTCGAGCAATGCGTCGGCTGGGGCCTCTGCTGTCGGAATGGAGGTGATAATCAAAGTGGCGATCGAGGCCGAGGCTCGACGAGTCAATGGGAAGACGGGTCTGGATTGAGAGTGTTAACAGCGGCAGGACGCAATTGAAAGGCAGCAAAGTACTCCAGAGCTCAGCAGAAAGCAAAGGAAACGAACCACGAGAAATTCGACACGAACGAGCGGAAAACTCACCAAACACCGGGGGATGATCTTTTGTCGCATGTGCAACTTGTATTTCTTTCTAGGCTGTTTAGGCGGAGAAGCTGGGCTCCAGTGACGAAACCAACTGCAAAACTCTGGTGTCAGGTGGAGGCAAGAGCGCTGTTTCTTCCTTCCCGTTGGAGACACAAAGTAGCCCCTCCGGGACCCGCCTTCCTTGTTGGTTAACACGTCGTACACTGTCACTACGGCGCCATTGTCCAATGACAGCGGCCTTAAAACTCATTTAAACCACGTGATTCCGCGACAGACAGCTCTTTCCACAGGCGCAACGGCCTGAGACCGCGCCGCGTTTTTGGGGCCTGTGCTGCCTGACGTGCCGCACATGGCAGGTGCTAGCCGCGCCTCTGTTGCCTGCTTGGCCCACTTTAGCAGCTTCACGTCGAAGCTCAGCTTGAGCCGAATATATCGCCAACACTCGTACTCAGGACTCGATCCGGGCCATGGCCAAGTGGTAGCAGATCAATTGGTTTCTGCTTCAATCTTTATTGCTTCTCATTCTGTGATAAAAGGCACCAATCATGGCGTCTCGCGAACCCAATTTCAAGCGCGAGGACGAGGACGACGTCGACGAGGAAGTGGACGACCTGGTATGACGTCTTTTGTTGATCGATACTCTGTTTCAACAAGGAAAACACCCTAGAACAACCATTAACACTGTCTTCCAGAGCTACAAATCGCAAAAGGATGCCATCATCTTTGCCATTGACGTCAGCACGTCGATGCTGGAGCGGCCGCCACCCAGCAAGTCACGCAAGGCAGACCAGGACAGCGCAGTCTCGGCGGCGTTGCGATGCGCGTACCAAATCATGCAGCAGCGCATCATTACACAGCCCAAAGACATGATGGGCATTCTGTTGTTTGGCACGGAAAAGTCCAAGTTCCGGGAGGCGGCCGGCGACGGCGATGGCGACGACGACAAGCACATCGACCGTGAAGACGGCAGCAAAGAAACGCAAGGGGGCGGCTTGGCCAATATCCGCCACCGCGGGCCAGGCTACCCACACTGCTATCTGTTCATGGACCTGGACGTGCCGGCGGCCGAGGACGTGAAGGCGCTCAAGGAGCTGGTCGAAGAGGGCGAGGACCCGGACGAGGTGCTGACTCCGGCGCCGGCGTCTCAGCGCGTGGCCATGTCGAATGTGCTGTTTTGCGCGAACCAGGTATTTACGACCAACGCGGCCAACTTTGGGTCGCGGCGACTGTTTATCATTACGGACAACGACGACCCGCACGCGGGCGACAAGGCGGCGCGGTCGGCGGCGGCGGTGCGCGCCAAGGACCTGTACGACCTGGGCGTCGTGATTGAGCTGTTCCCCATCAGCCGCGCGGGCCAGCCCGCGTTTGACCTGAACAAGTTCTACGACGACATTATCTACCGCGACGCAGCAGACCAGGACGCCCTGGACGGCGGCGGACACAGCCACGACAGCAGCAGCAGCAGCAACGTGGCCAAGGCGTCCGACCGGGTCTCGACGTCGCGGTCGGGCGACGGCCTGACGCTGCTGGCATCGCTCGTGTCCAACATCAGCGCCAAACAGACACCCAAGCGGTCGTACTTTTCGAATCTGACCTTTGAGGTCGCGCCGGGGCTCAACATTTCCGTCAAGGGCTACATTCTGCTGAATCGCCAAAAACCAGCGCGCACGTGCTACGTGTGGCTCGGCGGCGAGCACGCGCAGATCGCCACGGGCCAGACGACGCGGATTGACGCCGAGTCGGCGCGCACGGTCGAGGCGGGCGAGACCAAGAAAGCGTACAAGTTTGGCGGCGAGTACGTGTACTTTGCGCCGGACGAGCTCAAGGCACTCAAGGAGTGGCCGTTCCCGGACGGGTGGAAGGGCAAAGGCCTGCGCATCATCGGCTTCAAGCCGAGCGTGCTGATCCCGCCGTGGGCGTCGGTCAAGCGGTCGACATTCATCTACCCGAGCGAGGAGGACTACGTGGGCTCGACGCGCGTGTTCGCAGCGCTGTGGCAGAAGCTGCGGCGGTCGGGCAAGGTGGCTATTGCGTGGTTTGTGCCACGCGTCAACGCGAACCCGCTGCTCGTGGCCATTATGCCGTCGGGCGGTGGGAGCCGTGCCGATGGCGAGCAGGGCGAGGGTGAAAGCGGCGGCAACGACGACAACGACGACAACGACAACAGCAGGGAGCCTGCCAACCCCATGCAGCTGCCGGCCGGTCTCTGGCTGTACCCGCTGCCGTTTGCCGAGGACATTCGGCGCGTCGACGACGGCGGCCCGCCGTTGCCGACGTGCGACCGGATCACCGACCTTATGAAGCCCGTGATTGAGAACTTGTTTTTGCCCAAAACGGCCTACAACCCGGCCAAGTATCCGAACCCGTCGCTGCAGTGGCACTACAAGATTCTGCAGACGATGGCGCTCGAGGAAGAAGTGCCCGAGCACGGCGAGGACCTGACGCTGCCCAAGTACAAGGCGATTGCCAAGCGCGTCGGCGGCAGCCTGGCCGAGCTCAAGGGCGTCATCGACGAAGAGGCGCGGGCGCTGACGTCGAAGCGGGCTGTGAAACGCGGCGGCGACAGCGACGACGACGAGGGTGGAGACGCAAAGGGCAAGCCGCTGGCAAAACGGCCCAAGAAAGCGGCGGCGGCGGCTGGGGCGTCGGCGACTGGCGGTGCCGGCAAGATGACGGCCAAGGACCTGCGCAACGCCGTGAACAACGACAAGCTGCAGTCGATGCAGGTGGCCGTGCTCAAGGAGATTCTAGCTGCGCGGGACCAGCCGACGTCGGGCAGAAAGGCCGATCTTATAGAGCGGATCGAGCAGTGGGTGGAGGCCAATTTGTAGGCGAATATGTCGCTGTGTATATTGATGTTTTACGTTTTGTCTTGCTGTATACTACAAAGATGGTACACTGCAAGAGGCCCGAGACCGGTCGAGGTCATCACCGGTCTATGAATTATGTTTCTGCTACGAGGACAAGTTTGGACATTGTCAGGACGATTCAAATGGAGGCAGAGGTGTCCTTTACTTGTTATTCTCCCCACGGCAACATGTCGTGTGATTATGATGCAAAGAGTGTGTTTTGAAAAGTAAAGCGCGTACTTTGGAATAAATATGAAATTGAATCAGTCTTTTGAAAAGCCATACAGTGAAACCAACGAATCAATAAATAAATGCTTTACGAAACGAGAGCACCACCAGATGGTAAAACATACAAACATTTGAGAAAACGACATACCTTTGCCTTAAAATGAATTATTATTTCAGGCTCCGATAATTATACCATTGCGACTTAAGCATTCACAGCTCTATATTAATTACAACACCGACAAATTACGTCGTACACTGGTTAATTACGTATAAATGAATGCATAGAGGAACCATAATTTCTTCCAGGTACGGTCATCGGATAAACGGTGCAAGGTGAGAAGATGGAGTCTAAAATATACGGAAGTAATCAAGTAAGAGAGAAGAAGAAGAAAGAAAAACAAAATAGAAAGCAAAATAATGAACAGAAAAAAAAAAAGAAAAAAACAAGAACAAGAAGCCACAGGCATTTATCTACTTCCTCCCATTCTCTCTTTCACATCTTCTTGTCATCTCGTCTTCCTCGCAGCCGTCCCCTCCTACACCACGACTCAACTCTCAACAGCCTCATATCCACATACAAAAGCCCCTCATCCAACATCCGTTCTATTTTGCCTTGCCGCTTGGACGTCGTCTAGATATTGGACCCGTTGCCATTGTTTAGCCCGCCTGGAGCGTTGGACGTTTTCGTGCCCTTTTGCCCACTTTCGTGCCGTTCGTGTGGTCAAGGCTGTTTATAGAGAGGCGAGACAAAATAAAAACAGACAATGGCACATAAAGACGCAACACAATGTCAATAAGGCGCAAAGCGAACCGCATGGCCACGACTCACACCAGGCCTCACCCGGACCTCGTCCAGGCCTCACTCAGACCTCACCCCATCTGCACTCCAAATTCGCTCTTCGTGGCTCTGTGTTGACGGGTGAATCAAATCTATCTCGCTTCTATTCACCTCCACTTTTGGCACACGTCTTAACTATTTTTACGGGCACCGTCGGTTTTCCTACCGAAAATAGGCTTTCTTTATTCACGGCTTTCCATTTCTCCTCCTCTCGGCTCGTCTTTTGTCTTTTCGTCTTCTCGTCAAGTTTGTCTCTTGTCGTGGCCCCCAGTCTCAATCTCTTTTTGTTTATTTTCTCCCCTTTATAAAACAGGCCATTGCGGCCGGCATTGCCTGCCGTTGAGTCTCCCTTCCATTTTCTCCTCCCTTTTCTCCTTTCTCTCTCTTCTTCTTTTCTCTCCTTTCTCTCCCTCCCCTCTTCTCTTTTCTACTTCTCCCTCCTTGTCCATCTCCGGTTTCACGACAGGTCTCCATATTTGAGTCTTGAGTCTTTCGCTCGCTGAACCCTACACTCGTTTCTGTCTTATTTCATTCATCTCCTTTTTTTCCTCTACACGCTCTTTACCTCCCACTTTCCCACTTATATTCCAACTGTCCCCATCATGCGTTTCTCATCGGCGTTGGCCCTTGCCGTCGCCCAGCCCGTTGCCGCGGTGCTCGTTTACGTTACGTCGTACTCGGGCACGCTGACGTCTCTCAACCTGACGCTGACACACGCCAAAGCCAACTCGACCTCCGGCCCCAAGGCCCGCATCCAGCAGCTCGCCGTCAACGCCGGCTGCGCGCCGCAAGCGTCGTGGCTGACGCTGGACAAGCCCAACGGCATTCTGTACTGCCTGGACGAGAGCTTCGGCAACCCCAATGGCAGCCTGTCGTCGTACAAGACGAGCGCAAACGGCACGTTGACGCAGCTCAAGCGCGTCGAGACACCGGCAGGCCCCGTCTACGCCACCATCTACGGCGCGGGCGGCAAGGGGCTGGCCGTCGCCGAGTACCAGGGCGCGTCCTTTTCGTCGTACCGCAAGGACCCGTCGTCGCTGGCGACCATCGAGCAGGTCACGTGGACACTGCCGCATCCGGGCGCCAACGCCACCCGCCAGGACACGCCGCACCCGCACGAGGTGATTCTGGACCCGACGGGCGCCTTCTTCCTGGTCCCGGACCTGGGCAGCGACCTCGTGCGCGTGTTTTTGATCAACCAGACCAGCCTCGAGTGGACGCCCGTGGCGCCGCTGGTCACGCCGCCCGGGACGGGGCCGCGCCATGCGTCGTTTGTCGTCGGCGACAAGAACCAGACGTACCTGTACCTGACGAGCGAGCTCGCCAACACCATCACGGGCTACGAGGTCACCTACAATGCCAACCAGACGCTGTCGTTTGCCCAGATCTACGTGGCGCCCACCCACGGCCCGGGCACGGTGGTGCCGGCCGCGGCCACGGCCGCCGAAATCGTGACGTCGCCCGACCACCGCTTCGTGCTCGTCACAACGCGCAACGACGCCGCGTTCAACATTAGCAGCTTCGACGCCAAGCCGAAGAACGGGACCGCCACGGCCGCCGCCGCCCAGATCGTGTCCGACTCGGTCACCACGTTCGCCGTCGACCACGCCACGGGCAACCTGACGTTTGTGCAGCTGTTCCCCTCCGGCGGCCAGGTCCCGCGCCAGTTCTCCATCAACAAGGCCGGCACGCTGCTGGGCGTCGGCCAGCAAGGGTCTGGCCGTGCCGTCTTTATCAACCGCGACGTCAAGAGCGGCAAGCTGACGGGCTTTGCCGGCGCCGTCGACATTGCCGGCGAGGTGACGTCGGTCGTCTTTGACGAGTAGGCATGGGAAGCGCACGAGGGAAAGAATAAAAAAAGGCAAAATAGCGGAGAGGATGGTATATGATACAGAGACATTTGATCGTGGTAGCGTAAGTCAAATGAAATCAAAGATTATATTCAAAGTAGTGTACATGGCCATGCTTGCCGTCGTGCTGCCTTCGTTTGATTACCACAGACTGACTATGGGACCGTCCGAGGCTGTCTGACATATCCCATGCAATCTGTATGAAGCAGCCATCTCTTGATACATCCAGCCAGTCCGTGATCGACAGCAGCCTGACTGCCCAGTTACACGGTTTACAGGCAGCTCCCTACGACGTACTTCCCTTGACGTTGCCATTACGGTGACAGGCGTCGGTGCTTTCCGCGCTCTCCGTCATATTCCAGTGTGATGTAGACGGCTGCATGACAGTTAATATAGAGCACACGGCGGTCTACCAAGAACCTACGGCCTTTGTGCGCTGCCCCAACTAGCCAGACGATCTAGATCTGTCGCGGCTTGTTTTTCTCGCTTCTTGACTCTGCATGTGACTGCGAAGCCCTGTCCTTTTGCTTGTATTTGTAGAGTGCCTAGACAGAATCGCCCAGACATACGGGACATGGGAACAGCCCTTCATTCTTTTATTCGCCTCGCTGGTCTGCAATTTTGAGGTGGGGTCAAAAGGTCAAATTAGCCGAGAAGGACAGGTTGCCTTGGATGGCTCCATGGGTCCTCGCCCACGGAGCACAAAGTGCTCCAGAGTTCCAAAAGAGGCAAAAAGGAGATCGACACAGTGTCAAGTGAAGCTCCAAAGGGTGCTGCCATGTCCGAAAAGGGCAAATTACGCTTGCCACTGCCTTACGTCGTGCGGACGTACATGTGAATACGATGTACTGTTTCGGTGGTCCCGTTCCGGGTCCGAGTCGCTTGCGGCTTTTGTTGCGTCTGTCTGCCGTGTCCTGGTCCTGGTTCCAGCGTCCTAGATGCAGGCAAGTGGGGGGCCGGAGTGACTGATCAAAATGAGGTAAAAACAAAAAGCAAAAGGAGGCAAAAGGAGGCAAAGCGAGGCAAAACGAGGCATGACCAGAGTCGCCTGTGGCAAAAGCAAGGACGGCCAGCCTCAACACTGTAATTCAACGGGCTTAAGCCTCGGGGTCCTTACGGAGGTTAGACCTGAATACTGGATAATGCAGACGGGAGGCACTTGCTCCCGTTGTCTTCTGTTTCTCCCTCGTATATTGCGGAACGGCTGTCTTGGTCCATGCTCTTGCCCGCCCCTTTCCTCCTGTTTTATTATTTATTAATCTATCCACGAACATGCCGACGAACCTGTCATTATTTGGTGACGTTGTCACTTTTATGCTCACGGTGATTGCTGCTTGATCCTGCCCACAACCACAAACTTCAGCAGAGATGTCTATATCCCGCCTCTTATTGGTGCTCTCCGTCTCAGAGTCGGCCCGTTAGATGCAAACCAGCTACGCACAAGCAGCAGGCCATAATGGCAAAAGGAGTGTGCAAATCACAAGGCAAGGAGGCCAAGGTGTAAGCTGGCCATTTTGCCGCCCGCTGTGGTCTTGTTTCCAGGTGGTTGGGGACAGGTCTGGGCGAGGTAAGCGAGAAAGAGACGGGTAAAAGAAAAATATGAAAAAAAAAAAAAAACGTCGACGAAGAGCTACAAGGAAGGTGAAAAAAAAGAAAAAAAGGAAGAAAAGAACGACAAGGGAACAAATCACGCAGGCACGTCCTTGCACACGGCCTGGAGGAACCCTGGGACGGCAGTGGCTGGGCGTAGCCTGGGAGTAGTCTGGGATAGCACTCCGACCCAAAGTTGACGTCGTTCAATCTTCTCCACAGCTTCGACAGACAGCAAACAAACCCAGCGGGGACCAAAAATCAGGAGTCGTCTGATGTTCAATACTGCTGCTCTTGGGGCTGGGTCTGTGATCTAGGACGGGAGCGCAATGCGTCTGTCGATCGTTGACAAGCAGAGATATGACCGAGGTGACAGTTTCCCTCCTTTTTCATCGCTATTTTCTTTCCTTTAATTCTTTTTTTCTGTTTTCATACAAAATGTTAAAATATGGCATCCTTGGCCAAGACATCGAAAG